TCTGTGTATCTAAGGTTATCGATATTTCTCCCAGCAATCTTGATTCCAGCTTGCACTTCATCCAGCCTGGCATTTCACATGATGTACTCTGCATATAAGTTAAATAAGCAGGGTGACAATATACAGCCTTGACGTACTCCTTTCCCAATTTTGAACCAGTCTGTTGTTCCATGTCCAGTTCGAACTTTTGCTTCTTGACCTTCTTGCATACAGATTTCTCAAGAGACAGGTAAGGTGGTCTGGTATTCCCATCTCTTGAAGAATTTTCCACAGTTTGTTGTGAACTACACAGTCAAAGGCTTTGGCATAATCAATAAAGCAGAAGTAGACATTTTTTCTGGAACTCTCTTGCTTTTTCGATGGTCCGACGGATGCTGGCAATTTGATCTCTGGTTCCTCTGCCTTTTTTAAAACCAGCTTGAACATATGGAAGTTCACGGTTCACATACTGTTGAAGCCTGACTTGGAGAATTTTGAGCATTACTCTGCTAGCGTGTGAGATGAGTGCAATTGTGCAACAGTTTGAACATTCTTGCCCTTCTTTGAGCATATAAAGAAACATGCCCAAAGCCTTCTATAAAGAAAGCTGAGCACCGAAGAATTGATGCTTTTGAACTGTGGTGTTGGAGAAGACTCTTGAGAGTCCCTTGGACTGCAAGGAGATCCAACCAGTCCATCCTAAAGGGAATCAGTCCTGAATATTCATTGGAAGGACTGATATTGAAGCTAAAACTCTAATACTTTGGCCACCTGATGCGAGAACTGACTCACTGGAAAAGACCCTGATGCTGGGAAAAACTGACAGCAGGAGAATGGGATGACAGGGTGAGATGGTTGCGTGGCATCACCGACTCAATGGACATGAGCTTGAGCAAACTCCAGGAATTGGTGATGCACAGGGAAGCCTGATGGGCTGCAGTCCATGGGGTCACAGACAGACACAACTGTGTGACTGAACTGAACTGATGGAGCCAATGTCCATGAACTCTGTACCATCATTTTAGCTGCAGTCTTCAGGCAAGAATACTGGAGTGGGTAGCTGCTCCCTTCTCCAGGTGATCTTCCCAACCCAGGGATCAAACCCAGGTCTGCCACATTGCAGGCGGGTGCATTGCAACCCATTGCAGTGGGCTGCAGGCATGGCAGTCCACTCCAGCCTTCTTACCTGGAGAATCCCCATGGACAGCGGAGCTGGGCGGGACACAGTCCATGGGGTCACAAAGACTCGGACATGGCTGAGAGACTGACCACAGCACATGGAGCCAATAAAGCTCCCTGGAAAAATCAGCCTGGTAACTTGCTTACAGGGTTCCCAGGAGCCTGACCAGCTAAGTAAAAAAGGTCACTTCTTGGCAGATGCAGGAATCTCAGAATGTTGGTGGACCTCCAGAAGAAAGGAATTCACCCAAATATATCAGGATTGCAGAGAAAGTCTGATGATAAGTTCACAGCTTGGCTTCCTAGCCTTGAGATTTATAATAGCCCAAACTGTGATTTCCTGTGCAAATGTCCAACAGAGCACACTTAAAAGTTATTATTTTGGCTGCACTTATATAATCAGGGCAAATTTAGTAACACTATACTTATTTTGCAAGCAAATTAGCTTTATTTTGGTTATCTCTAATAAAAGGTGGAAGTAAGGGGTGATGATAGAGAGAAAATTATATTTCAGTGAAGAACTAGAGTACACTCTGCAGATAACCAGACTGCAGCCTCCAGGCTCCTCTGCCCATGGGACTTTCCAGGCAAGAATACTGGAGTGGATTACCATTTCCTTCTCCAGGGGATCTTCCCGACCCAGGGATCAAACCGGGGTCTCCTGTACTACAGGCAGACTCTTTACCATCTGAGCCACCAGGGAAGCCCAGTATCAGATTCTAGTCCTATTAATTGTCTTTGAGGTTTGTTTTCTACCTGTAAACTGGAACAAATACTGAATTCTTTTCACTTCCTCCAATATCTGAATACAGCATTCCACCTTTCTGACTTTAAATTATTAAGAACTAAAATTTCCCTTTTCCTGAAGTTATGCAACCTAAAGTGTGATAACTTTATGCAAACTCCAGAGAAATCACAACAGTTCATATCTGAACAACCTTCATGCCTGTTGCTCTGTGGACCACTCAGAAAGATCCCCAGAGATAGTCAAACTCAATCCAGGAAGATCTATGATTGGCACTGTCTGTCCCCACTCCATCTGAAGATGTTCTACATCTAGAAATCATGACTGGCTGCCCTCAGGATTCAGAACAGGTTTACAACCTGCTCCATTAGCCATAGTTTTCTTTTGTTTTCATAGAAATGTATATTACATAAACTGAATCAAGTATTTGCACCATACAGACCTAACCTTGTAAGCAGACTTGCATCACTGTCTCCTGAAATGAGACACAACCCTTTAACGGAACTGACCGTGGCTGGGTGAGATATGGAGCATTCCACCAACCCGGGACAGACTCAAACCCACTCGTATCAGATGACCCAAAATGTTCATCACAGTATTACCTCATCTTTGGACAGATTCCTCGGGCCCCAAGGTCACTCACCTGGTTTCAAGGTGTGCCCTTTTAAGCTTAGGGTAATGGCTACCAGCTGGATTGCAGACTACTGACCGTAGTGTAATTACAGGAGTGCTACTATAATCCTTCCTACATTACAACAGGCCCTATCCCGTACTTTCAGTAAGTCAGCTATTCAGGCAGTTTAAGGTCCTCACCACTTACTCTGATACCTAGGCATTAAGGGTGGCTTGTAGTGCAATCCCCAATGGTCAGGTTTCTCCTTTTTTGTAATGTAAGTGCAGGACTCAAGCTTTGATTGCAAAGCATCCACTTCAAAGACGTATCCACTTCCGAGATGACTGTCTCAAATAAACACACTGCAGCCAAAGAACCCAGAGCCAAGCTGACGTTGCGGGGAGAGGGTAGTTCTTTGCCAGATCTCCATCAGTTTAACTGACCATCATTAGGGCCACTTTTTCTTTCCCTGAACTCTAAGTTCCCACACGTAAGGTTTCAGTTCACCAATGAAAAGTAAGCCACAAAGCCCAAGGCCTCCACCCTTGACCCTAATGAAAGCAGAACCCCAGGCCCACACCCTCTCTCTCTCTACCTACAATCACCAGGTGTGACCCAGGTATGCCATGTGCTTCCCAGAACCTATGAGTAATAAACTTTTTTTGTGTGCAAAGTTTTCTGATGGTTATCACCGAGGGCATCTTGCAATCATAAGAACCACAGGGGCCAGTGCAACAACAACACTAGTTATCAACAGGATGAGACCAGCCCAAAACAGCCACCCAGCAAGCAAGCGTTCAAGCTAGCTCTGAATTGCATCCAAGGACACATATTCCATCTGACTCAGTTCAACAAACAACCCATTCAAGAGTTCAGACTTGCCATTTTCAAATAAAATCAGCTCTTCCTCTGTCCTGGGGAAGAAAAAAGAAAATCCCTCTCATCCAAAGACCTGCCACCACAAACGCCATGAACTCAAAGGCTATAAACACAAGGGGATAAAACAAAGACAAGACAAAGGTTACAGAGAACAAGCTGACAGGACTAAGCAAAATGTTAGGAGCCAAGAACAATCAAGCCACTGAAGCAAGCTCCCAGGCTTGGGAGCCACCTATTAGCATAACTAGGGAACTAAGGAAATTACCAGCTGTGCCCATGCAGACTTTGCATTAAGCTGGTATGGCCCTCAGGTCTCCCTTAAGTATTTTAGAATGCCTAGATAAGAGGAACTTACCCCAACTGACACAGTCTAGAAAAGACTAAGGAGACAGGCCAATTAAGTGTAATTAGTACCCTGTGTGGGATCTTGAAACTGAAAAAGAGCATTGGGTAACTAAGGAAATATGAAAGGAAGTAAGGACTTTCACTAACGCAATCAACACTGGTTGGGACAAATGTTCCATACCAACGTGAGATGCTGATAATAGGAGAAAACTTGGTTACAGGGTATACGACAACTCTGTATGGTCTTGGCAATTTTTCTGTAAATCTATTTCTAAAGATAAAAATTCGTTAAAAAAAAAAAAAAAGAAAGAAAGAAAAGAAAACAGGCTTGCTCCAGAGATCCTTGAATCAATAAGAGAGTTCTCTCAATACCTACAACGATAATCAATCGGTACCTTTGTTAAAAATTTGTTAAAATGCAGGTTCTCAGGCGCCACGCCAGAACTTTAAAGTAAGAATGGGAGCTGGCGAGGCCAGTCTGCATTCAAACAAAAAGACCAGGTGATTTCTTATGTACCTTAACGTTTCCCTGTCTTCGTGCACATAACCAACGAGGCCTCTTCCAGCGGGCAACTCACCCCCTTAGGCCTTTGCCATCCGAGGGCAAAACAGTGATCCAACAGTTAAACAATCCGAGACTATCAGCTGATACTGGTGTAGCCTGACATTAGAAAAAAGACTTTTAAAAGCCCCAGTTTCTGGCTTCCCACCTTCCTAAAGAGAACCAGAGGCACCTGTCGTCACTTTAAACAAAAACCTACCGGACGCCTGCCCCCCTTGAAAAGAGCCCAACCGCAAGCTGCAGTCCTGGTCCGGGACTCTCCGACCCCCCGCCCCCCAAAAATAACAGGTGCAGTCAAAACGTCCCTCCGGGGCATCCTCTTGGGCAGACGGACGCTCCTCGGGCCCCCGGCCATCTCTGGAGCGAGCCTCCCGGAGTGCCCTCTCAAGGTGAAGAGACCCTTCCCCTCAGCCCCCCTGCTCAAGTTGAGGGAGGGTTTGAGCCCCCGCCCTGTCACTATCTAGACCTGTCACTAACTCGGTGAACCTCTGGACCCTCATCTGGTTAACCTAACTGTCTCTATGGGGTCATCTCAAACCAACAAACGCGGGGCACCGTAGCGCGGCCTCGGCGTCGAGACAGCCACGGACCGGCGCCCGCCTCAGGCGGCGACGCGCGCGCGTCGAAACACTGGGGCCGCGCCGCGGGGGCTTGTGGGACGGGGCGGGACCGGACGCCCCCCGCCCCCGGCTCCTCACCCCGCCGCCGCTGACCGCTCCGATGCCGTCGAACTCCCGGCCCAGCCCGTCGGAGTCGTCGAGCACGTACGCGCCACTGGGTGCCAGCAGCGCGCACAGCAGCAGAGGCACCGCGGCTTGGCCCGCCAAACCCGCGGCGGCCGTCATGGCTTTCGCCCGGCGTTGCCGGGAGGCCTGAATTAGGCGCTCAGCCATTGTGTGACAGGTCATATGACTCGGACGCCCAGGGAGGCGGGTCCGGTCGCCGCCATGATGGAGAAGGGCAGGAGGCTGCGGGTGCCGCCGCCGCCGCCATGTTGAGTGTGGGCTGCAGGTCGCTGACGCCGCCGCCTTCTTGTTGTGGGGGTGGGGAGCGAGCCTTTTCTAGCGGGCCCTACGTCAGGGCTTGACTGCAGGTTTCTGCGTTTGTCACTTAGGTGCCCCGCCTCTGGCATCACCTACTGGAGCATTTTGTCGAAGAAAAAGATGGGTATCCAAGGCCAAGGGAGCCGTGCAGTGAATGGCCTACCATGGACCTCCCCAAGCATCAACATTCAGAAACCTGAGATCGTGACATCCAGTCACATCACTTCATGCCAAATAGATGGGGAAACAGTGACAGACTTTATTTGGGGGGGCTCCAAAATTACTGCAAATAGTGACTGCAGCCATGAAATTAAAAGACATTTGCTCTTTGGAAGAAAATTACGACCAACCTAGACAAGCAGAGACGTTACTTTGTCAACAAAGGTCCGTCTAGTCAAGGCTCTGGTTTTTCCAGTGGTCATGTATGGATGTGAGAGTTGGACTATAAAGAAAGCTGAGCGTGAAGAATTGATGCTTTTGAACTGTGGTGTTGGAGAAGACTCTTGAGAGTCCCTTGGACTGCAAGGAGATCCAACCAGTAAATCTTAAAGGAAATCAGTCCTGAATACTCATTGGAAGGACTGATGCTGAAGCTCTGATACTCTGGCCACCTGATGTGAAAAACTCATTGGCAAAGACCCTGATGCTGTGAAAGATTGAGGGCGGGAGAAGAAGGGGGCAACAGAGGATGAGATGGTTCGATGGTATCACTTACGTAATGGACATGAGTTTGGGTAAACTCCGGGAGTTGGTGATGGACAGGGAGGCCTGGTGTGCTGCAGTCCATGGGGTCGCAAAGAGTTGGACACAACTGAGCAACTGAACTGAAGCGTCTCTCGGGAATTTGTATCATGTGCCAGTAGGTGGCTGAACTAGAAAGAGGACCTGCTCGCAGCCTCTGTCTTAGTCCCCATTCAGCTGTCACCTCTGGAGGATCACTCAGCTTCCTGAGCCTGAGTTTCCCCATTATGTAAGAGGAAACAAGAAGACCAGCTGCAGGGGGGACATTTAATTAAATGACCTACAAACAAGGAAACAGACAACGCAGTAAATCCGAGCTGAGAGTGTCACCCACTTAGGAAGTGTTCACTGGTAATTCATCCTGATACCTACTGTGTAGCTGCGTAGGGTACTTTCTGCTGCCAGTTGAATTGGTTCCTAGCAGATACCCCTAAATTGGTAAGAAAGTTGTGAATTGTGCTGGGATTCCTGTCACATCTGACACTAAGCTGGGGTTTCTGATTTCCTTGGCATTGAAGCAATTTGGAGAGACTACTGAGAGACTGCAGAGAAAATATCTCTGAGCCCAATATCTCTCTAGACAAAGCCATGGAGTTGGTTATCAGTGCCTGCACAAACCTGGGATACCGCAGGCAGGGATACGGCCCAAAGGCTATTTAGGCCGAGGGAGCCTTTGTCTACAGGGTTCTGTTTGGAATCTGATTGTTTGGCCCTTTGCTGCAAACCGAAACTTAAGTTGTCAGGACTCCGAGTATGTTAAGGAAAGTTTATCTGAGCAGTACCATAAACACACTCATCAGGCCCTGAAGGGCATCTGTAGGTTCGTAGTGGCCAGGATGCTTACTCTTAGCGTTTCCCTAAGTTACTGTCGACCTGCTAGTACCAAACAGTCCCAGCTGGTGTCTAATGTCCTAACCCAGTTATTAATAGTGTCCCTTTCACCCTCAAAAATGTTCTGGCTTGCAGGATAAGTTATATAGTTCCCTGTGTATTGTCACTTGTTTTATGTGTTCTTTTTTCCATATGGCACTTATCTGACCTACTTTCCTTATAATCACCATTCCATGCGATTATACTGTATTCAAGTGTGTAGCTATTCAAGTTCCATGGATTTCTCTTCCCAGAACGCTGATCCATCTGTTGTAATAAACTTACAAACATAGGTTGGAGCACCAATGGATGCCAGACGTGGTTGATAAGTAAATGTTAAGCTTCCTACCAACCCTGAGATTTTTTATCTGTGATATGCACTGCAACCCCACTGTCCATGGGAGTTTCCAGGCAAGAATACTGGAGCAGGTTGCAATTTCCCTCTCCAGGGATTGAACCCGAGTCTACATGCATCTCCAGCATTGGCAGGCAGGTTCTTTGCCAGCCGAGCCACGGGGAAAGCCTTAAAACACATGCCCAATAATGAAACCAGAAGGGAAGTACCAAGGTGGAAATAGAGGGAAAATACAATACAAGCAAAATTGGGAACTTGGAAACCAGAGCCCAGCATATGTCATCCTGTAGTGCACCGGTGTACCTTGTATTTGGGAGACACCCTATAAATATTTGTGCAGTGTGCAATAGCTGGGCAAGAGGAAGCAGAAGGTTTAACAGAAATGTATACAACTAGTTCCTATTAGTTCATAACCAAAGAAATTCCTTATCAGGGAAAACATCTCTTGTTTCTAATTTCTCATTTATGCTCAGGAAACCATTAGACAAGAAAGTTTCTAATAAAAAAGCAGTAAGTACAAGCTAAGAAAGAAATACTTGAACTGCTGGGCACAGCACTGCTACTTGTTGAAGATGTGAAATAGAGGGAAACAGCAGTTACCAGACAAGTGACGGTCTGTTCGGCTTCCCTCGCTTCTGTTTTATCAGGATCCCTGAAGTATACCAGACAATAAGAAAAGAGGGTCTCCCCAGAGGAATCGGGTGGAGAAGGAGGTGGGAAGGGTGATCGGGATGGGGAATACATGTAACTCCATGGCTGATTCATGTCAATGTATGACAAAACCCACTGAAATGTTGTGAAGTAATTAGCCTCCAACTAATTAAAAAAAAAATAGGAACATTTTTCAAAAAATGAAAAAAAAAAAAGAAAAGAGGGTCTCTCAGTTCTCAAAAGTCAGATGAGTTTTAAAAATAAGGAGTTTTTCTCTTAAATAAACAGTGTTTCTTAGTGTCAAACTGCATTTCAGCCCCAGCAAATTTCTCAGTTTTCTGAAGTGAAAATGTGATCAGAATCAGATGATCCTTTGAGGAAAGTGAGCGCAATCTTGTCTAAAAGATGAAACATTGCTGATAAAGTCTGCTATCTCACTTTCAGAAGTGGTTTTACTTTTAGGAGTCTGAATTAGGCTGCCAGAAATTCAAAGCTACAGGGTCCTCTTCTTCTTTGTACTTAAGTGCAGCAGTGTGCAACCCAAGGTGGGTACTCAGTATATATGTTGAAATTAAACTTAAATTGAACTTAAACAGAAATCACTGGTGTGATGGTGCCTCAAATCACTGGGAAAGACGGGCTTTTTAAAACGTAATATTGAGAAAAAGATCAAATTTTTGATCTATGCCTCATACCACATCTAAGTATAACTGCCAAATGGACAAAGCTCTAAATGTTTTTAAAAAAATGGAAACATAAAAGTTCTGTTAGAAAATAGGGACAAATTCCTGTGTAACTTGGGGTCTGTATAAGATTCAATTTCTTGACACAACAAAATAAAAGTTTGATTTTTAGGAAAGTCACTAAATAATCATATAAGGGGATAAGAAAAAAAATTACTTCCAGATAAGTTGGAAGTGTTTCTTAAAGAGTCCTCAAGGGTCAAAAGTATGAAGTGTTCTCTTTTCATGAACTTTCCTGTAACATCGGCCATTATCTGATCTTTACAACTTTTACAAAAGTGTTTGATTTCAGTTGTTAATTACATCACTCCCTGTTCCATGACTTCTCTCAGTTAACTCAGGGCTTTATACAGACAGTAAAAATAGTTCAATGGACAGAATCCACATAATGAAATAAATTATGTATTGTTTACTAAACATTTTCTTAAGTATAACTACAGATAAAAACTGCTAGAATAAGAAGCAATGTGGTAGAGTGGTTATACGATCAGCACTGGAGCCAGACTGCATAGCTTCAAATCTCTCCTTCCACCTGCTAGATGTGTGATTCCGGCCAGGTTTCTTTACTTCTTCAGGCTTCAGTTTAACCATCCATAAATAGAGATGATGGCAGAACTGTTAATATGAAATTCAGCTGAATTAATATTTATATAACACTTAGAAGAATGATCAGCATATCCTACAAGCTATTGAAGGGCTTATTATGTGAACAGTAACATCAATGGATACAGATTTAACTAGAACATGACGCTTGAGCTTACTGCTCTCCACAGAACCAAGACAGTCCTGAGGGAAAGGATTCTTCCTGTCTTTGTACTGGTTTGAATTTTGTTGTCTATGGTCATCCAAATCCGTGCCTTCCTGTGTGTGGCTGATCCCCCATCGTGTGAGTCTTGGTGGGAGGCAGATCCCACCTCCTTCAGGATCTAAGGCGCCCCTCTGTCCCTCTTCTCACCCTCCAGAGCACAGGAGCTCTGGAGCCCCAGTGACCAGGACCCCTCAATCAGTTCCCCAAACCTGGGACTTTGTTCTTGGAAGCGTGCTTAAATGTACAGGCCGCTGAGAAAGCAGCCAGGAGCAGAGTCCGGAGGAGGCGGTGCTGGAGGCGCCCCAGAGGGACCGGAAGTCCCTGGGCAGTAGGGGAGGAGCGCCATCCTAAGGGCTCGGGCAGGATGGCGGCCTTAGGATGACGTGAGTTGCCCTTCTGGTCGTTTGCCAGGAGCCCATTTCACAGGGCTGATTCTGCAGCCTCAGCAGCAATTCTGTGCCATATCTCAATTTCTCTCTAAGTCATTTTCTGCTCAGGGTTAGCCAAAGATAGTGCTGTTGCCCGCAGCAAAGAACCCTGACTGATACACCAGGTTATAATGAGACTGGAAATGATCACCTCAACGAATTCTCAGCCTCTGTATCTGCATTCCCCCCCCCCCACTTTAAACACTGCCTTCACCCCGTGTAGTTCTTTTGTTGGTAATTGTTAATGCACGTGT